TGCGTCCTAGAACTTCGATACTAAAGTACATCAACGGGCAGACAAACGGAAAGCATATATCTAGAACGCAGAGGTAAAGAGGAGATCGCTCGAGCTCGATACGGCTTTGGCAAAATCCGTGGGGACTGCTTATAGGAAAAGGAATAAAATTGCGTTGATATCTCCGGCTAGAAAAGGCATAGAGAGAATAACAATGACGCCCCGTAGCTTTCGTAGAATACATTCGTGTCGTCTAAAGATAACGAACGTTATCGTATATCGATGATTTTGCTAGGAGATTCTAAACGCGTGAAATATTCGATATAGAACTCACGTGGTAAAGAAATCATGTCACGTGTTTTGTACGCAACTATATCGTTATATATCGAATATCGTCATTCTGTCTTCTTCTAGAATTATTTTCAAAATTCACGAGAAGAACTTAGAAGAAATAAATTCTAGTTTTCTTCGATCTGTCGCGTCTAACGAAAAGCACGTAAAAATATACAATCTTGAAATATACGAGAGGAAGGATCAATCGCGTTTCTTGAACGACTCGCGAATAACGCGAACTCAGTTTGCTTGATAAGAGTCTCGAGAGAAAACGAATGAACGGTATCTCGCTTAAAGCTATAAGTGGGAATAAAGCTAGCGTATTCGCACGATTAAATAAACGATTCGCTCTAAGCCGAAACGATCCTGAAATAATAAAAGCGTGGAGTTCTTTTCTAGAGATAGTTGGAGCGAGTAGATTAGAAGGAAGGATAAACCGTGTGCAAACGCGCCCGAATGAATTTTTAATGAAAAACGAATCCAAAGTTCGCGGCCGTTCAAAAAAGTGGACTGAAAAAAAAAACACGAGGATTCTTGAAACAGATAGCAGAAAGATCACGTATACGTATATCCATGTATCGTTCTACTAAATTCTACTGGAAGTGGATACACTTATTTTAGTTATAAAAAAAAAAAAAAAAAAAAAAAAAAAAAAAAAAAAAAAAATATAGAAAAATCATTCTAGCTTGGGTACGAACGTGCAAAAAAGTATCGTCTACTTGCAACGCGAAAGGGAATTCCATTTTGAATGTGACACGAAATCGATATTTCCTCTTAGTCTTATTTACTAACACTCGCGAGGGTAAATTAACACTCGTCTTTGGTTCGTGGGCGCACGTACTCGACCGAATACACTAACAATAAAGAAATTTACTGTTTAACGCTACGTAAACGAGCAAAGCAAATACCGACCCTTTTGTTCTATTATACTAATAACGCAATGATGCTATCCATTTAATTTTATATTCAAAATTTTAATACATATTCCTTATCCTTCTCTGATTCATTATTTCTTTTTTTCCGCAAAATTTCTCTTAAATCTTCATTAGGATTTATGATAATAGGAAAAAGATTTAAAAATTGAATAACTTATTCGATAATCCTCTTATCATTAATCGATTGGTGATCGATGATTAAAAGGATCAACAAAATCTGTTTAGATGCGGGACACATTCCAGACCCTCGCATAAGAAGGAAAGACTACGCCCTCAAACACGGGCGTCGAGTGTTCTCTCTCTCTCTCTCTCTCTCTCTCTCTTTCTCTTCGGTTCACTCACTTCTTCCTACACGATCCAGAATCCGCGTAATCGGGTGTACCATGATATGCCAGAAACTCACCCCACATTCATTCCACCGTTGCGCACTCGTTTTCGTCTCTCCCTTCGTCCAAAACACATGGAGGAGAGCAAGCGAAAGAGAGAGAAAGAGAGAGAGAGAGAGAGAGAGAGAAAGAGAGAGAAAGAGAGAGTGAGAGTGAGAAAGGGAATGGGCGGGAGGGCAAAAGCAAGAGCGAGACGAAGATAGGTCGCTCGGCACGCGGCGAAGCGGAACGCGCGTATTTCGAAGCTCCTCGGTTGAGCGTGCGCGCGAGTATGTGCGCGTCTTACCATCTGTAGCCGTATATTAAAGTTGGGACGACGATGGGATGACGTTGGGACGCGCAGAGATTGGAAATATATCAAAGGAGGATAGATAGATCGATTATTACGAAAAGTTTTATTTATTTTTCAACAATGACGCTCTGAAAATTCCAAAATCGTCGTTCTTAACGATATATTAATTCTTTATACTAATTGGTTTTTTTTTTTTTTTTATTCAAAGAAATATCATCGATAACAAAAGCAAGCAAAAGGTAACAAATTCTCGATCTTTAAGGATAGTTTTATTTAAATCGTAACAATGAAAGCATCGAAAAAAGTTCGAGCTTGTTCTTTGTAAAAAGTATACAATGTCTTTTTATTGTTCCTTCATATTTATTTGCAAATCCAAGAAATATCATTGACAAACCATAGAAACAAATTGGATGGTTGAAGCCAATAGAATTATCCAATGGTAATTTTTAAGATCATACAAGGTGCAATGGCACAAACAAAAAAAAAGTACGCGCGCGTTCAAGCGTCCACGAGCACGCGACGTAGGAATATTTATTGGCCAGTTACGATTGGTCGAAAAGACCACGCGGTATGTGCGTGCGTGTGTGCGCGCGTACGAGCGAGTAAACGTGCGAGCGTGCAAAGGCACACACGCGAATGTGGAGGCTGTTCTTTGGTAAGCAGTGGGGGAGACTACACGCGTGTCTTCGCTTTTGCTTTTAGTTTCGTGCCAGTCGTTGCCGTTGCGACAAGGAGAATCTTTTAAAGAGAAAGAGTAAGAAAGAGATCATCGTCAATAGTACTTTCGCTTTTCGAATTATCGAGAAAAAAATATCGAAATTGAATTATTAAAGAATATCGATTACGGTTTCCGCGATCTGAAGCCTTCGTTCTTTGCCAAGAAGAGACGCTTCAGGAATACTTCGGAATTTCGACCACGCGTTTTCCGTGAGGACGGAAATTTGAAATGATTTATCGTCATCCTTCGTCTATCGAAATTTGCCAACTTTTCCTACCGTTAGACCAATGACAAAATAGTTCAAGATTTATCGTGAACCCTCCGTAAGAGATATAAATAAGTGACGTTTCGATGCTTTCTCAGTAGTACGAGAACGGTGACAAGACAGAAGTAATCCGTTTGTTTAACGATCACAGATATTCAAGGAAATTCTATTGAGAGAAATTTTTGAAAGTTCAATGTTCGGCCGATCAAAGGGGATGAAAGACGAGTAAGCAAAAGCTTTATAGAACAGTGACAAATGTAAATAGAAGGGTAGAGTTTGCTTGAAGATTTAGCCACCTGATCGTTGAATCTAAATCGAACGATCCGTCGTACGAAAAAAAAGGAAAACTATCGCTAAGAATAACGCGTAGAGGCGCAAAAAAGAAACAAATAAGAATAAAAGGTTTATCCGTCTTGGAGATACGGGATCAAAGTTGAGATTCTTGTAAGAGAGGGTGGACGCGAAAGAAGAAGAAGAAAAGGATAGGAATGAAGAGGAATAAAAAAGAGGAGGAAGACAAGGAGGAAGACGAATAAAAAGAAAAGAATAAACTCTCGAAAGAAGAAAGGGAGAAAGAAAGGGACATTCGGCGTCTCGACGTCTCCGACGACGGGACAAGTATTGACCGAGTCAAAGGAAATATCGGCGTGTTGTGAGGGAGAAGTGAAAGGGTTGCCGAATGGGAGTTGGTGCGAAAGAGGAAACAGGAAGGGGACAAAGAGAGGTCCGTTGCTCCGACAAAAAGTGCGACCGGCTCGTTTTGTTAATCAAAAAGATTCCACGAGCCGGCCGCGACGTGTCCGGCGTAATAACGAGCACGTGTGAGCGAACGAGCCACTGTCCTAGCCTCTTTGTGAGAAAAGGCTCGTGAGGATTGTAAAAAAGAGAAAGCTGAATGAACAGTTCATTGGGAATGTCTTAATTTCTACGATTCCCTTGGATTTATTCCTTCGAAAAATAGAACTACTTTTTTAGTAGTCCGGCGAACGAATATCGAGATTTTTCATTTCTTAAATCGTTCTTGCAACTTTGAGAACGTTTTTAACGGAATGATTCGAAAGAACGCGATATCTTGTGTTAAAAAAGAAAAAGAATAAAAGATACGACGACGACGACGCAACATAATCGAGAATGAGAGGAAAATCTTACGAAAGGAACGAGAGCTCGCGATCGATCCTGTCGACCGCGGTGCATCCGTTCGAGAATCGAGCACGTCCGGAGTTTTTCAAGGAGAAAGCTTCCCGTTGATTCGTTCTCGAGCTTGCAACTCGAATGTTCATCGATCGAATGAGGAGAAACTGTTTTGGGGGCGGTGTTTCGCACGTCGGCAAGAACACCTGAGCTCGATTCGAGATGCGCTCCGCGATCGGATGTAGTATCTTTTCAACGAGTTTGCTGATGTTGCTGACATTGCTTAAAACACGAACGAGCGTAGCGACTCCTATGCCAGAGGAAAATCTCTTTCAAAACAAAGGTACAAATTATTTCGCTTTGGATATTAATGCTAATTCATTTCCATATACGAAGGTTCGATTTCTCCAATGAAACAAATCATTGAGGATTTCTCTGAGCACTGACCCTCGATCGCTTTTAAATAAACTACTAACTTAGCACGAAGCGTCTTACCACTTCTCACTGCGAACCGGAAGGATTTAAATAAACTCGTATGCCTGCATTCACGACCCACTGACTTTTTTGCCTTCGAAAACTTCAACCAAAGCTTTGTTTCTGCTACGTCTTACAACGAGAATAGACCTCCTTCTCTTCGAACGTTCTACTTTCACTTTCTAAGATAATAATAGCGTTGCCTTTACGACTATTTTGCTCCGCGCGAACCTGAAGAGACGAATGCATAATGTTTAGATAAGCTTCTTCTCCTCCCTAATAGACCCCTGATCGATCGGAAATATTTTCCTTGGTAAATTTCAAGAGAACCCGTTTAAATGCTAATATTTGATAAAACTCAAGTAAAACTTAAGGATATACAGGACTTTTAGGAAATAAAAAGAAACAGTTTTTTACTATAACTTTTTGCTGAGAAACCTTTATTATTTATAAGGTTAAACTTTTCTTTGCCTGATAAAACGTACTTCGAAGATTAAAATGTAAATTTTTTCATTTAAGAATAATGATAAATGGCTGATTCTCAGCCATTGGCGTAAATATTTGTCAAAGTATGATTTGACGTGATACCTACGTAAATTTGTACGGCAATCTAGAGCTTGAAATAAAATAAAAAGATTTAAAACGGTAAAGAAAAGTTAAGGGATGAAATAGTTGTTCGATTTGAAAGCATTAATTCAGATCGCCAATTATCCCATTGCTATTATCGTTATTACTTCGTCATTTTTCAAAATTTTGATCTGTAACTTTAATTGAATATTCTTGAAACTATTTAAGAAAATGTAAGGAAAGAAAAAAAATGGATTGTTTTGACCAAAAGAAGTCATGCGTTTAACATGACGCATCAGACGAAAGTTGTATAAAATTGACACGCGATGGAATAGGACAGGACGGGTGGCGATTTGATTTGGCAAGCTTCGCGACGTCGTCCGTTCGTTGAGACTGTAATTACATTATTAATCTCTGGCGCCAACGGCACGGCATCCTGTTTCTTAAAAGAATTCTGCTAGGAATTTCTCGCCATCCGCTTATTTCTGCTAACAGATTATGGAAAAAAATAGGTATAATTTAAATATTCAAATTGCCCTTTGATGTTATATTTATTTAATAATAATTTATATATTAAGCATGATCTAGAAAAAGTTAACTTGGAATTTCATGTTATAAATTCATTACTTAGAACTTACCGTTTTATAACTTTTGAATGAAATCTTTCATCGTTATAAAGTAAAAGAAAAGAATGTAATATCTTGCCCGTTGCGTCAAATAGATAAAAGGTTAGAAAAAAATTAATAAAATAAATTTCAACTATACCAGACACATAGAATGTCCTTATTATAGTATACTTGAATTATTTTTCTCGTATTCTTCGATATCATATTGTAGAACAATTTTGGACATTGAAATAATCGTTACGAGAAAGATGTTCCATTTCGATAAAATGTCGAAAGAATTTTAGTGAATCGATAAATATCCGCTTCTCTAAGTATTTTCCACTACGTTGTCTCGGATTCCATACGAGGTTGAATACCTAAGAGGTTCCAGGTTCGTAGCGAAAGAATTTGCACGATTTATTTTCAGCAATTGTAGAAAAAAAGACATCAGTATCACCCCTGCAAGGATCATCCGTCATCTGGGAAACTGTACGACGAGTGATATAGATATATAACTATATCAGTAAATAGATATGTATTAAAACTGCAAAAATTTGGTTTCATTAAAAATCATATTTAATATGGTTCTTAATCAAATTTGAAATTTATCTTTTGTTGGAATTATGAAAATTACTATTCTATTACTATTCTATCGGCTATAACTATTGTCTACAATTTGGATACTTACACAGAACGCCATATCATGATCGCAAACCACCCAAGTAGATATCACAAATATATATTGTGTTTGCTGAACGTCAAAAGTCAAGTTGCACGAGCCATTGTAAACACCGTCTGGAAAATGAAAACACATAAAGTTCAAAGTGCAAGAGCGAAAACGAGAAATCTTTATTATACTTTTTCTAAATTTTATCGTTTTTCCTTATCTCCTTCTGAATATATCATTGTTTTAAAATGTCGATATCATTCATCTTTTACTAGTTTCAAAGTAAATTTCAAGAAATATATTACGATAAATGATGTTCCGTATGATCGTATGCGTCAAGTAATAAAGTTAACGAATCAAAACCAGTGATTGCCTATGTAATTGAATGCTATTCTAACGTTATAAATATAGCCAAGGTAATATTAATCAAATCTAGCGTAATTCGAGAATAATTTAGCTTCGGACTTTTTGAAGTATATATATATGTATATAAATATGTTATCTCTATCGAGTAAAGAAAGAGATTATTGATTTAAATGAAACTTATGGGTTAACGAAATTTCATCGTTTTTCATTACATTTAAGAAAATTATTTAAATGTTTATTTAGCAAAATATTATAGTCTCTTAGCATGACTCGAATATTTCATGCACTCTAGCATTAAAAAAAAAAATCTAAATGTGATTTATTCAAACAAAAATTTGATAATAGAAACTGGGTTTAAATAATAAATTGTATGAAAAACGCGTGGCTCTTTATGAAACGCACCATCTGCTTCGCAGCTGCTCACGAAGATCTTTATCGACGGCATTATTAATCGATGAAAAATTTTCAAACGTACGAGTGCCATTTTTCGCTATATTATTGAATTCTATACTAATTAGATTTTCATCTTTATTATTCTCTCTCTATTCACTTAGCTTCACTGCGCATAAAACATTATCGATTTTTTTTTTTCGATTTAACTTTAATTTTTTACACGTACCTGACAAGTTTTAGGTTAATATACTTCAACGTTAAATAATGCCTGCTGAAATTTTATTAACATTATTTAACGTCCTATAATTTCTCACATAATAAACAGACGAAATATTAAATGTTTCTACTGCAACAGTGAAAATCGAATCTTGTATATATATATGTAATTA